GGAAGCTCATGTACTCAACCCTCCGTGCTTGAGGTTAAAAACAACGGGGAGAATGAAGTGGAGAGAAAAGGTGGGAGGGAAGTGTTGGGACCTTCTGGCTTCACCCACATCCCATACCAAACAGCAGACCAGCCCAAGCACCTGGGGAACACCACCCCCTCGCCCTGAGCGGGTGCTGGAGGACATACAGAGGTGACACTGGCAAGGTCTCTGTCCTCAAGGGTCTCACAAACCTTACCGATGGTGAGGTCCATGTGCAAATAAGCACGTAGCAGGACAGCCTACAAGCAAGCGTCTGGGCTTAGGGAGATGCCACCAACAGTTTAATGTGCCCCAAATGTCTGCCATTTATTATTTTAAAAGAATGCTTAGTGGTAAATGTGGTGCTCGTCTCTTCCCACAACCACATCAAAATTGCAACTAAAGTACAGAGCAACCATCATTCAGAACCGCCTGAAATAGAGCTGAATGGAAGTCCTACAACTACGAAACTAAAGAAACCACATCAAGGCTGGTAGGAGGGGCAGAGGAGCCGACCGGCTGGTCCCACACCCACGTGTGGCAGATAAATATCAGGAGGGACATCTTGGCTGTGAAGGTCCTCCCTGAGGACTGAAGGGTCCCCATCTCACACCAGGTGCCCAGCTCAGGGTTCCAGTGCCAGGAAGAGAATCCCCATAACTTCTGGCTGGAAAAACCAGCAGGAACTGAGGCTGAGGGAGGTTGAGGTTGCTGGAGTCCCCACAGCTCCTTTCAAAGGGCCCGCGCACAGACTTACTTGTACTTGCTCCCTCCAGGCTCCAGCGTTGGGGAGGCAGCTTGAAAGGCACCAGAGATATACAGGGAAGAACTGAGTTGTTTGGCATCAGGGCAAGAGCTGGAAGGGCAGCTTTCTCCTGGACAGACATGCTGGCGGAGGCCATTGTTCCTTTGGTGAGCCCTTCCCCCAGCAGATGGGCACCATATCTAGGACTCTAGTCCCTGGCTCATACACACTGGATGCCCCTCCCTGGTGATTCCCTGAGGCTCTGCTCCACCCAACTTTCGAGACCACCCAAGCTGTTTCCAGTGGCTTTACCATATGAATGGCCTGTCTTGGCTCATGCTTTAGATTCTCCTAAAATCCCTCAAACAAGCAGCATCTGGCCTCACTGAGCCCCACACCTCTAGCTAAGTGGCCCCAGGCACAGCACTAGAAGCAGCCAGCCTTGGTTCACAGCTTGGCCTCTCCTGGGCAGCACCTCCAATACCAGCACATGCAGCAGCCATCCACAGATGGCTTTGTAGCTTATGCCTGGTGGCCCTGGGTAGAACACAGGCAGTGGTTGACCTTGGCCTGTGCCTCCTGGGAAGCCTGAGACAGCACACCCAGTGGACAGCTTCAGACCATATGGAAGCACCGTGACCCAACCACCTCCACAAGTGACACACTCAAGTGGATACCAGAGCCCTGCTAAAGTAAGTCTTGCTCTGTGTGGTGGGCCCCTGCATAGCTGATCCTCGAAGGTGGTCAGAGGTCAGTGGCCAGAGTCAGTCCTTACAGCTGATCAGCCTGAATAAAACCCTCCCATTGACGTGCCAACAGCAATCAAGACTCAATTACAACAGAAGGGTGTACTAGTCCACATGAGGGGCACACCTTGAGTGCCTAGCTGGGGGGTGAATGGGGAGGCTGTGTCACTGGACCCTATAGGACACCTACTACAATAGACCACCCTACCAAGCCTAGGAGACATAGCAACTCTATCTAATACACAGAAATAAACACAGGGAGGCAGCCAAAATGAGGAGACAAAGAAACATGTCCCAAATAAAAGAATAGTACAAAACTCCAGGAAAAGAACTAAACAAAATGGAGATAAGGAACCTAACAGATGCAGAGTTCAAAACACTGCTTATAAGGATGCTCAAGGAACTTAGTGAGAACCTCATGAGCATGATAAAGAAATGAAGGATGCACTAACTGAAATAAAGAATAACTTACAGGGAATCAATAGTAGAGTAGGTGAAGCCAAGAAGCAAACCATCGATTTGGAATATAAGGAAGCAAAAAACACTCAATCAGAACAGCAAAAAGAAAAAAGAATCCAAAAAAATGAGGACAGTGTAAGGAGCTTCTGGGACAACTTCAAGCGTGCCAACATTCGCATCTTGGGGGTGCTGGAAGCAGAAGAGAGAGATCAAGAAATTGAAAACCTATTTACAAAAATAATGACAGAAAACTTCCCTCACTTGGTGAAGGAAACAGACATACAAGTCTAGGAAACACAGAGTGCCAAACAAGAACCCAAACAAGGCCCACACCAAGACACATCATCATCAAAATACAAAAGGTTAAAGACAAAGAGAGAATCTTAAAAGTAGCAAGAGAAAAGCAGTTAGTTATCTACAAAGGAGCTCCCATAAGACTGTCAGCTGATTTCTCAAAAGAAACTTTGCAGGCCAGAAGGAAGTGGCAAGAAATATTTAAAGTGATGAAAAGCAAGGACCTGCACTGAGATTACACTATCCTGCAAAGCTGTCATTTAGAATCGATGGCCATATAAAGAGTTTTCCAGACAAGAAAAAGCTAAAGGAGTTCATCATCACCAAATTGTATTATATGAAATGTTGAAGGTTCTTCTTGAAGATCAAAACTATGAACAATAAAATGGCAATAAATACATATCTATCAACATCTGAATCTACAGAAAAAAAAAAAATGAGCAAGCAGAACAGAAACAGACTTATAGATACAGAGGGAGTCCTTATTACTTATCTACAAATGGTGAGAGAGGTGACCTTGCTTGTCCAAGATTTCTGAAGTAGTGAGGGCAGAGCATGGGTTCAAAGCCAGGCCTCTGTCTTAGGTGCAAGGTTCTCTCCACCACACCACCCGACTTTCTCAGAAATCTCTGCCGATCCCACCAAACTCCATGTTTAGTCTGATCTCTGGGCCTCCCATGTTGAGGTCAGCCAGGAGGTCAGGAGGTCTCAGAATGAGCAGAAGTTTGGCCTTTAGTCAAAGCTGGTGCCGAGTCACAGCTGCACTTGCTCCCTTAACCCACAAACCCTTGGCGAGCTCTAGGTTGGGGCCCACTGAGCCAGTAGGTCATGCGTTGGCTTGAGATGATATTGAAGGGATGTTGTTGTTAGGTTTTGACACATATATAAGGATAAATCATGTCCACAAGCCCGTGAGCTTTCTGAAGGCCATTAATATATGTGTACACACAAAAGATGAAGGTATCAGAATTGAAAGCAGAGTCTGGGGATGCAACTAGGAGGTCATTTGGATTTAGGGAATTAGGCCATCCATAGGGAAAGTTGAAAACACAGAGCCTACTTAGCCAGGATTATGTTTTTCTTATGGGTGGTAGTAACCATGGCCAACCATGAGCTGGTAAAGTGGCCGGGGTGATACTTACCTGTAATTGGAGGAAAGGTGGGTGACCAAAATGTTATAGCATTTATTATTATAAAAGGAATTAATATTCACTATAGAAAATACAGAACTAAATACTGATGAAGATAAAAAGCACCTTAATCCTACTATCCAGAAATGTTCTTTTCAGACTTTTTTTCTATTTATTCATACCTACAGGCATATGCTCTCCAAGGGAAGTTTTTATAAGGCAAATTAAACACAGCACAATTAGTTACGTGTGTGCTGCACTGATTGTAACAGGATCCCAGTCAGGAGCCCGCCGCGGATCTGTGGGAAAGCTGCCGCACCGGGGCTCCGTCGTCTGACCGTGTCCTGTTTGGTTACTCTGTTGTTGCCATGGAGCTGTAAGGCCGAGGCCACTGGTGACCGGGAGGGAGAACGCTCCAGAGGTGGCGATCTCAAAAACAATACGGAGATTTTGTTTGGCTTTTGCCCATTTGGATCAACCAGTTTATTGTTTCTCTCTTGCAACAAAAGACACTCACAGCTATAGAAGCACTTTACTGAAATTACTGCAGGAAAAATACCTTTGTTATTGTGAGTCTAAAATGCTGTAGCATTTTATTCACTTTTTTCCCATTGAAGTAATTGTTTGTTTGTTTTTCCAAATATGGTATTTGAAACACGTTTTTTAAATAGTTTAACTAATAAAATATAGCAGAACAGGCTCTCTCATTTTATATATACATATATACATATACACATATATACACACACAAACACATATACAGATACATATATGTATGTATACATACACACATAGATGTGATTTTAAAACAAAATTAGGAACAGACTATATACAAATCTATATTTTCTATTATTTACTTAATAGCATACTGTAAGCATTTTCCAATACATTAAATATTTTTCAAAAAAATTTTTAATATCTAAAGTTTTCTATTATATGGATGTAACATACATGATTTATCCCCTTCCCTATTCAACATTTTCAGTTGGTCCCAATTTTTTTCTGTTATGAAAACATGCTGTGACAAACAATGACGCTCTGTCCACATCACTCATACTTTCTTACAATAAATTTAGAATTTTAATTACCTCCGTGAGGTATTCATGAGTATTACTGGGTGTACATAAATCCCCAGTGGATGCCGAGCACACAGCGAGCATTCAATGACTGGTGGCTATAAATAGGAAATCGAGCACCTAGGAGAACAGACCAACTCTGTGGGCGCCGAGAGTCAGGAGGGAAATGGGCTCCACTTTGTCAGGGGTGATGTAACGGGATAGTCTGGGGTAAGGAGAAGGGGAAAGGATGGGGTTGTTTTTGCTCCAGGAGCAAAAGGGCCTGCCCGTACCAGAATAAAGCATTCCCGATGTGAACCCGTTGATGTGAACCCAACGTAACGCACCACCCTCCCCAGATCCTCCCAGACGCGCTCTCCCGAGTCCAGGGCCTGCGCACTTCGTCACGCAGAGAGGGCGGCGGAGGGACACCGATCCCGGTCTCCACTCGGAGCCTGCGTGTCACAGGGAACCGAGCAGAGCACACACGACATAAACCACTGCGTTCTCCAAGATTATTTATTAGCCATTCTCACTTATGATGAAAAGAAATAAAAAAGTAAATGAAACTAAAATAAAATAAGATGAAAATCCAACAGCATTTCTTCCCCAAGGACTTCAGCTTAACTCTACAAAATGGACCACAAGGGCTTCCTGTTTGCAGCTTACTCATACGAGAACCCATTCAAAGGAGAAATTTAAAAATATCTACATCCTCCTAAGGTGCAGTCTGGCCTGGTGCAGTGAGTCAGGAGGGGTTTTTCCAAGCAGAGACTGGGGTGTTTATAGGCTGAGAGCAACAGCCCGTGGGAGCCACACGGTACTCCGGCCCCGCTGGGCTCCTCTTTGGAACGAGTCTTCCCAGTCCAGACAATTCCACCGCATGTCCTCGGGGTGGCCGGCCTCTGTTCTTTGATGACAGATTTGATTTCTGAGGCATCTGGAGTGGGTTCAGCTGAAGAAGGGATAATGAGGTTCTGTGAGCAGCTGGGAGCTCAGAGCTACAGAACGAGCCCAGTGCGTGACGTGGGCCGTTCTGGGGCGGAAGGCCCTCCTGAAAGGGGTGGCCATTGTCACACCTACGGCTGGCGACGGGCGCCGCGGGGGTGAGCGCGCGCGGAACGCGGCCTCCGTGGGGATGCCCGAGTCTGGGCCAGCCGGTAACGCCCTGGCTCACTGGGTCAGCTCACTGTGCGCTGCAGAGGTTCTGTTCGTTCTTTCTCTCAGAATGGAAACCTATCCATGTAAAATAAATTTACATTTTGTCCAAGAAAGGACAGTTCTTAAACGGATTTCCATTCTCTGGGGGCTGAAGGCAAAGGGCATGGTTTTCTTTCCGTCCTTCTCTTCAAACCGGCTTCCTCGCCCCTGGAAGATGTCTCCGTGCCTGCCTGTCATGATGCTGGCCCCTGGCGGGAATGTCCCCAAGCACCAGGAGCGTGCAGTCCAGTCGCACTGGGTGGCCTTAGGACAGTGACCTACGGGGTGGAGCAGCAGCACCTGATCGCAAGGGACGCCCCTGCAGTGTCCCTCAATGGGTTCAGACACCACCCGGGGGCCTGTTCCAGAGGCGCCCCTTCCCCCAGTTCCAGGCGCCCAAGGGCACGGCAGGCAGAGTGTGCCTAGACCTCCGGGATAGGGGTGTTGCAGTTCCCGTGGTAGATCCTGACGTGGCCCTCGCACCGGAAGTAGGCCTCGAAGACGTCGCTGTAGCCGTGGTCCCTCCACCAGGTGCACAGCTGCCGGTTCCAGGTGCAGTCCAGCACGTGGAAGAGCTCGGGGTGCTCCATGCCGATCATGGTGAAGAAGTCCTGGTCCCCGAGGTGGCCTCGGAAGTGGTACTTGTCGGCCAGCTGCTGCACCTGTGCCGGCTCCAGCAGGCAGCTGTAGAGCAGCGACTGGCGCATGGCCTCCAGGTTCAGCAGCATCACCCCGCTGTTGAAGCCAGGCAGCCCCTCCGGCGGCGGGCCCCCGACTCGGGTCTTGGGGTTCTCGTGGCGGAACTGCCAGAAGGTGTGCCTGGGAGGGGGAAAGAGAGCAAACTTAGCCCGGTGTGTGGGGTGAAGCCCTTGGCCAGCACTGTTCCCCTGGGTCTTCACAACCACCCTGGAGGGAGATACTATTTCAGCCCAGTTTTATAGCAATGAAAACAGACGTTCTGAGGTTCAGAATCTGTACCGTGTCACAGGCAAGTGTATCAAGTCCCTGTGTGCTGCAAGGGAGGGCCGCGGGAGGGGCAGAAAGTCCCGGCGCCACGTCCCCGAGATGCAGTCTCAGGGCCAGTGGCTTGGAGCAAGGAGGAAGGAGGGAGGGCCCTTGGTCATGGCCAAGGGGCAGGAGTGGGCCAGGGAAGTGTTCTGCACCTATTTTTACCTGCGTCACCCCTTCTCTAGAGAATCGTTAGGGTAGGGAACACATTCTGGCAAAACCAGCTCTGCTCCCAGCCTGGACGTGCCCCCGCTGGCCTCCCACAGCAAGCTTCCCGACCAGTCACAGGACAGGATCTGTGTGATGAAGGAAAACCAGAGACCTGGCCCAGGTGGGCCCCGGTGGACTGTATTCCAGCTCTAACACATTTTTCCAAGTCTGGGAATGGAGAGAACTTTCTTGAGGTCTCGAATATCATAAAGGGCGCCGGGAGTTTGATCCCGGCGAGGGGAAAAGCATTCCCTTTGGACGTTCTTACACACAAAACACACAGGTTCATTGTTTGAGCTTTGCCATAACTGGACTATGAGTGGAACAGCGCTCTGGCGCCTGCTTGGTGATAAAAAGCTTGGCAAAAATAAGCTTCCCAAGCCAACTGAGATGCTGGAGTCCTTCCCACCGCCGAGGCCTGTGCAGATGGGACCGCAGAGGGGCTGCAACGCAGCTGGCGACTGTTTGCTCATCTTACCATATTTCTTCCAAACGGTTAATGCCAGCTCCAGCCTGCAAACCAGCAACATAAAAACTCTACCAAATAGACGTGGGCCACCGCAGCACGTAGAGGACCCTCTGCCAGGGGAGGGGTACTCCGCTGGCAAGGGGCTGCTCACGCCTTGGGGAGAGAGCAGACACATCACGGGAGAGGCCAGGGTTGCACGGACAGCAGCGGGGAGGCAGAGCGGTCCTGTGAAACCCCTGGACACCCATTCGCCGCTGAGCCCACTGTCCTTTTGTATCTCCAGGTTTCATCTCTTTCTTCCCGGAGAACAAGATGGTACGAGGTGTGGAGTCAAGTCAGCCTGTCCTGGGTCAGTGAGGTCTCCCAGGACCACCATCGCCTGCCTTGCAGTGCCCAAACAGCAGGGCCTCAGGAGCAAAAACATGACCGACAAGGAGAGACGCAAGGTCGGTGTGGCTCAGGTTATGCAGTCTTCGATGCAGCTGGACTCGGGGGCAGGAAAATACCAGGACACAGAGCTGCAGCTGCAGAGAGACCTGCTGCTTCACGGAGCATGCGGTCCCCACTGCCAGGTCTGTCTGGGGTGCAGAGAGGGGCAAGGAAGCATGACAGGTGCTCAGCTGGTCCAAAGGGGTTCAGAACAGCTTTTACTCCTGAGCAAGCTGGGGAGCAGGGAGACTGCCGCAGCCCCGACACCCTCACCAGCCTCAGCAGGCAAGCTCCTCCAAATCTTCCCTGCCTAGGCCAGGGTGACCTGACACTGAACTTAATGGGCCTGGGAAAGGGGGCCAGAGAGAGAGGACAGAACACCCTTCCAGGCAGAGACCATAACCCAGGCGCCTCTTTGGGAACAGAATGCCTGGCGCAGCCACTCAATCAGGACCAAGCGGCATTTTATAACAAACAGCCAGACAGAACCAGGTCTGGGACATGGACACATGATGATTTGTAAGGTGAAGCAAAGAAGGGACAGGAAATTAGAAATGCAAGCTGCTCGGGGTGTCTGCTTCAGCAGAAACACCGTCTAGAGATAAAGCAATGATTCTCTAAGTATAAGATTGTATCCAGGGTGCTCTTGTTCAAAGCATTCCTGCTGCCCCAAAATGAACCCAGAAAAAACAGAGCAGCTACTTAGGGGAATGGCGGGTTTCTCTGGCCTGGTGTCAGCTGGTTCTCGTGGAGGAATTCTGACAGAGAGAATGACACAGGGACCAAGGGGTTAGAGCTCAGGCCGGGCTCTGGTCCCACGGGAAACGGCCCAACAAGGTGGTACCATCACTGTCTCACCGGCAGCAGCAGGGCAGGGCTGCGAAGCCCTCTTAGCTCCTCTACCCCAGCTCCTCTCCTGGCATCACCGCCTGCTTTGGCACAGGGAGGGCACGGAGGTCCTAGTTTGTCAGGGCAGGGCCCCGACTCGAATCCAGGGCTTCTGATCTCGAGGTCTCTTTCACCTTTGCCTCGAGTTCCATGGGCTCATGTTCCAAGGAGCAGTTCTTAGATTTCAATCTTTCTGCTGAATCTTGCTGGCACACCCCAAGGCCAGGGGCACTGGGGACCAGGGTCAGACCCGAGAGCCACTCTGAGGTGGGTCAAAGAGTGCCCAGACCTCTGCCTTCCTCACAGGACCTGGAGCTCCCATATACACCCATGGGCACTGCCATGGCCATGCCAAGGCTGCAGGAAACCCCTGTATGAATGCAGCATCTGGTCGAGTCCTGGGACTTCCAGAAGGTTCCCTCATTACTCTTCCACACCCACACCCGTCATGTCACCCTGCCTCATTGTTTGGATTTGGGCCTGTGCAGCGGTTTGTCCATCCTTCTTGGTCCCCTGGAGCCCACACTAGAAGGATAAGGCTTCTTCCCCTTTAGAAAGAACTTCAACTACGGCCCTGGCCGGTTTGGCTCAGCAGTTGGAGCGTCGGCCTGCGGTCCAGAGAGACCTGGGTTCGGCTCCCGCTAAGGGCACGTACCGCGGTTGCAGTTTGTCCCCGGCCCTGGTTGGTCATGCGGGTGGCAGCCACTCGATGTGTCCCTTCACATCGATGTTTCTCTCTCTCTCTCTTCCTCTCTCTCCCTCCCGCTCTACCTGAACAAAAAATGGAAAAATGTCCTCGGGTGAGGATAAAAAAAAAAAAAAAAAGAAAGAACTTCAACTACGGAACAAGCCCCGGAGCAGATGGATGGTCCCTTGTAAACGTTAAGTCTGTCCAGAAGTCAAGGAGGCTTTACTGGAAAATACAAATGAAAACCCATCAAGCCCATTCTTCCAGTGATGAGCGGTGAATTTCCTAAATGTTTTACATCAAGTATGTCCTAATTAATAATCGTAAAAGAGCCCTGGCCGGTTTGGCTCATGGGTTAGAGCGTCGGCCTGCGGTCCCAAGAGACCTGGGTTCGGTTCCCGCTAAGGGCATGTACCTCGGTTGCAGTTTGTCCCCGGCCCTGGTCGGTTGTGCGGGTGGCAGCCACTCGATGTGTCCCTTTCACATCGATGTTTCTCTCTCTCTCTCTGTTCCTCTCTCTCTCCCTCCCACTCTACCTGAACAAAAAGTGGAAAAATGTCCTCGGGTGAGGATAAAAAATAATAATAATAATAAAAAAATAATCGTAAAAGAGATCCATTAAAAGCCAGCAAACTGGTTTTCCGAAGAAAACCCATCTTTAATGAAAGGGATATCTGAAATGATTTTGAAAAGCAAAGTCATTTCCTCTTTCAAGTCTTCCCCTGACTATCACTGCCAAGGTCACCCCAACGAGTCTCCCAACCAGAGACACTGGCCAGAGAATCTAAAGCTCCCATCCTCCAGGCAAGAACACGCGGGGCCATGAACAACCCCTCTGTCCTCTCCTGCCCCCTCCCCCGGACCACAGACCCTTTGCCTCCCTGTCTCTTCAGGCCTTTCTCCCCCTTGGCGGACTTTTCTCAGCTCCTAAGGCTCCGAGCGTCCTACTCTCGCTCCGGAGAGGGAAGAAGGCAGGAGGGGATACGCAGGAGCCTGGGCAAAGCTCTGGGAGCCTGTGCGGCCTCGGGCTGAGTTCAGCTGCAGGCTCCCGGCGGAGGACTGTTTCAGGCCTGAGGCTTACGAAGACAACACCATACAAGCACATCTCCCCCCGCGGCTCGGCCTCGAGCGTCAGCAGAGCTGAGGGCAAAGCCGCTCAGGAGCACGCCCGCCGGCCTCCTCCGGAGGAAGCGCATGGTCGGGATGCCCTCTAATCAGCGAGGGCCGGGATCAGGAAACACCGTTTCCCTTGTGCCCATGCTTGCGTACCAGCCCCAGCGAGCTCTTGTTTGACTTGGAAGGGACCCTGTTTTCCAGGCCTCCAGGAGGAAAGCCAGGAGTGGGGAGCAGTCCACCCCAGGTCCCGTGAGGTGACCTGGGGACATCTGGGTGACAGGGGGCTGGTTTCGGAGCAATGACTGTGTCACGGTCCTGCCTGGAGCTCAGGCTGAAATGCTTCGGGGTGGATGCTGCAGTTCTCTGGGGAACCACTGCCCCGTGGTGTCCAGCTGGGAAGGGCAGGGTCTGCCTGCAGCCGTGGGACCACTGCAAAGCTGTAAAATGTTCTGAGAGTCACAACTGACCCTTTAGGGTCTCTTGCTGGCAAGGCCTGAGGCAGACTTGGGTCTCTAGCTCTGCTGGTCAGAGAGGGTGAAATGTCCCAAAGTCACACAGAGTATTAGTGGCAGAACAAGAGAAACCCTCAGAGTACCACAGCTTACCAGAGCCCAGACACTTACAGATTCGCACTGGTCAACCAGCAGAGGATGCCCGCAAGTCCACACTGCTGTCTCCCAGTTCTTAGTAAGACAAGCTGGAACCCCAAGCAGCACACTGAGTTGAGAGAAGAAATCAATCAGTGGTAACACAAATAGTAAATGGAGCACCTACTGGACCCAACAGATCTGAAGGTGGGCAGAACATGCCCTCAGGAAATCGGTGGGGTAGCAAGGACACGAGACCCCGATGTTGATACAACAGCAGTGGCCGTAGTGAGAGAAGAGGGGGTTTGCTTCTGGAACCCACAGGCCGGGCTCGAGGCCAGCTGTGTGAGCCGCTGGGCCTCTCAGGACCTCAGTTGGCTCAGCAATCACATGGGGATGGAGAGGAGACTCCCTACTGGAACAG